GCTGCGCGGGTGTCGAAGGCGCGCACGATGGCGCCCAGGTTCTTGGCCGTGCCGACGGCCGACAGGCCGGCCACGCCGCCTCCGATGACTAGCACCTTGGCCGGCGGCACCTGCGCAGAGGGGACGGTGGCGCCGGCTGAGAGCGGGCGGCGGTGTGAGTTAGAGGGCAGGGGCGGAGCGGCGGGGCAGCGGGGCAGAGCGGCGGGGGCGCGGTTAGCGGCGGGGAGCGCCGGGGTTAGCGAGGCCAAAAGCAGGCACTAGCGACCGGGGAGCTAGCAAAGCGGGCGGCACAGCGAAGAGTGTTGTGTTTGGGCATTGGTAAAAGGGCTATGAACACTGAATAGTGGTACCAATACACTAGCTATCAAACCATGCACTACTACATATCGACACCTTTTTTTTTAAACCCCACATTTGTTCTCCGGTGAATTTCAGACAAGTTGGTTAGAGACCTTCAAAAAAGGTACAATCACTCGATTTTTCTCAAGTTTGTCTGTCTTGGCAGATAAAGCAATACCAGAACAGGCCTACGAACACACATATTTGATCAGGATCGGACGATTGGACACTTCTAAAAGGAGATCTTTCGTGCCTCCTGGAAATTCACGGGAGAGCAGGTTTAAAAAAAAGGTGTCGATATGTCCCATGTAAAAATAAATACAACGACAAAACTAAGAAGCGTTTAGCAGCTGAACTTAGATATAATACAGTCTCAAGTGGTAACAGAGCATAACTGCGATTGAGAGTCGGCTGCGCAAAGCTAAGCCACACAATCAAACTACGATACAAAAAAGTACGATAGTTTTAAACTACACACACGCCACACACACAGAGGCACACTGCAGCGAAGAGAGTATATACAGCGAAGACCCCGCTAGTCTGCCGGTTCGTCACACCCAGCCCCGCTCCCGCCCGGCCCCCTCCACCGACTCCTGACCACCCCCACCGCCCCAGTTCGTCCGTTACCTTTCCGGCTGCGGTGATCTGTCCGGTGAAGAAGCGCGGGAAGTGGTTTGCCGCCTCCACCACGGCCCGGTAGCCGGCGATGTTGGCCATCGAGCTGAGCGCGTCAAACACCTGGGCGCGGCTGATCCTGGGCACGCAGTCCATCGCTGAGGGCCAGGGCGAGTGGGGTGAGGGCGTCAGGCGCGAGATAGGCGATGGTCTGGCGGTGCATGAATATACAGCCAAGATACTAATGTCCCTCCGAGCTTCATCCTCAGCCTCCTCATACATCAAGCCACATGGCTACATGCATCATGCATCAAGACAAACAGCAGCACCATCTCAGCTCACCGAAGACGGTCATCTTCTTGGCGGCGAGCTTGTCGAGCACCTCTTTGTTCTGGGCGGGGTAAATGAACGAGTACAGGGTGCCCTGGTCCCGGAAATTCGGCACCTCCTCCAGTATAGGCTGACGGACTTTGAACACAATGTCTGAAAACAGCGAACAAAAGTCAGGCTATATTGTGGGGACAAAATTCTAATTCAACACTGGGCATGTCATTTTAGAGCGATTATTCTAATTCGAGCTCACTAGTCAGGTCTAGGTGCGAGCTTTTCACGTCCAGATTGACTCGCGACTAGACTCACCGGATTCATAAGCGGCCTTCTTGCCAACGATCTCAGCTCCGGCCTCTGCAAACATATCGTTAGTGAAGGAGGCTTCTGCGCCGGCGTTCTCCTGGATTTGTACGGTGAAGCCCTTCTTGGTGAGTGCGGTGACCGCCACCGGCGCCAGAGCCACCCTGGCAGCGGAGGGAGATTACAGCAGGTCAACAAGGGGGAGAAGGACACGGTGACGCAGGTTCTCGATTCTGTAGTAGGGACACACTCGCGTAAAACGGAAGTGAAGCGCCGGCAGGAACCCATTATTTAGTCCCAGCAAAACACTTCATCAGACATGCCATACATTTTCGTTATTCTACTCAGTATCCATGAACCAAGGGTAGTATACCATCCAGTTACAGCTACAGCTACACAGAGCATAACACATAAAACACCATATGTACTCATCTCTCATCCCCCACACACCACCCCTCTCGACGAACCTGCGCTCATTCTGCCAGATCTCCTTGGGCACGCCGATGCTCAGCCGGCTGTAGGGCACGCCTTTGGGCGCCTCGGCTGCGGCCTTCTCGGTGGGTTTGCAGCGGAGCGGGCCGTGCGAGCGGAGGCCGCGGACGGCACAGAGCAGCGGCGCCGGGCCGGGCCCGCTGCGAGCCACGCTCAGTGTCGACACCGACAGCCGCAGCACCGTCGCCATGGCGACCGACGGCGAGCACCCTGTGGACAGGGGGGGGGGGTCACAGGTCAGATGGGGTCACGGGTCCGACGGCGAGCACACTGTCGGCGGGGAGGGGGTCACAGGTCAGACGGCTAGCACCCTGTCGGTGGGGGGTCACAGGTCAGACGGCGAGCACCCTGTCGGTGGCGGTCACAGGTCAGACGAACAGCCTACCCTGTCGGCGCGGAGGGGGGGGGAGCGGGTGTCACAGGTCAGACTAACCTGCACGGCAACAAGAGGTCATTTTTGGGATACAACAGGTCTAATCAAGTATCTAATACAGATGAGAAAAACGCAAAAAGGTCCGCTTCAACCGCACTAAGAACTCATTATTTTTAGGTCACATGCCACGTTTAGACAGTATTTCTCGAGATCCAAGACGGCATCAATTCCCCCGACCCAGACAAAAACACGTCTCCGTCGGCCTGGCCGGCCGCCAGTCAGTCATGTGCGCATGGTTTTGACGAGGTTCCTGTGACGTCAGGGTCCGCGACAGCTCGCCAAGGTCGAGGACACCGCCCAGCGCCGCTTTGGGAGCAGACATGGGCCAAAACGTGACTTCGACGGAACCACCCCGCTACGGGATAATCAGCGTTATGTTTAGAAACAACTTCTAGGGCGAATCATTGGCAATTATCTAAATACCGTAGCCTCTCATAACATCAGGAATGTTTTTGCCTGTTCAGTCAAGACGTGCTTCCTCCCACAATTTCACACAGCGAGTAGCAGACTGAAGGGCGGGGAGGCGGGGAACAGACACCGCCTCCGATCCCGTTAGATCAAACTCTACCCTCGCACAGCATTGCGTCAGCAGCCGCGCCGACAGCCGACGGCTGACGGCTGTGCGCTCTGTAAACCGACACGGGACGGCTCACCGGCACCAAAAACCACCAGCTTACTACATAGTTGATGCGCTGGTTTTATGCTACTTTTCAAGTGTCTTTAACGCCCAGGAACAGCAGTTAAATGAACAGCTAAATATGCGCATGCACTCAAATGCACCCGGAAGTGGATCGATCACAAACCAGCCGCTGCATCATCTGACGCGAACCCTATGCATGGCTGGAGTGAGTGGAACAAAACTGTCACTCAGCCTGATCAAGAAAGCTGTTCTGGGGCTCCAAGAGACCTCGCTCGCACAGACAGGTTTAAGCCGGTCCCGCCGCCGTGGGCGTAACCATGGACCGCTGCTGACGGGCACCCGAGGTTGGCACCCGTCCAGGGTGCAGGAATGTCGGACCGGCAGGTGGCGACACCTATCGCAAGAAAAGGGAACTACAAGTACCGATCACTACCGCACCAGTCTTTCTCTTGTGCCTTTCCTTGCAGTAGGGATCATGCATAATATTGCATGCTGAGGGCACATCACATAGGTAACCATTACAAACATAGATCTTTATTTAGGAATTTTGTTAGGCTCCATAACATATCTCACATATTAAAGAAAAAGGAAAGGATGATAGGTTCTCTGTCTCATGTTTCCAAGAATGGGGGAGGGCATTTTCCTTCATGCCCTTTCACACTATTACCTACATGTATTTTTGCTAGCTCATCAGAGTTCAGTGCTGCAGGCTAGAGATAGCCACTGAAGATGTTCAGATTTGAACATAACAAAACCATGTAGATGCTAGCCATCTTGAGTTATAACAGACAATCAGGACCAATCCAAACTTGTGGAAGGACAAAGACCTCCAAATTCATGAGGCAGGTAGCATGCTACATATTAGCTGTAAGCTTGCATGCATTTTGAGACAACAAGAGCAGTTTCAAGTGGCAAAAATAGCCATAAAAATATACATGTCTACATAACAGTCTAGAGATACATGTAATTTCTGCATCACTATGCAATAAAACAGACAAATGTTGATATAAAGCAGCATCAGCTAATAACACTTGAGAGGTCCAGGCCTGTGCAAACAAAATAGCATCTGACATAACAACTAAAAATATCAGTGATCTCTGCCATTTGTTGTTGACATAGCTTAAAACAAATGAGTGAATCGGTACTAGTGCTGCAGCTTATTGCTGCAGTTTGCTATTGTTGCATATCTGGATACATCATTTCATGCATTAACACTAAAAATAGCCATGCAATTCATATGACACAAAAAATAGACAAATTTCCTTAGCATATTCTCTTGACATATGAAACAAATGCGTTATCTTCTTTACCAGAGAAATACCCATGGATATTTTCTTAATGTCAAGTCAATGGTTGATCGTAATTTTGGTAACGTTTAAAGGAACACAAATCGCATTCAAGGAGACTGCTTATTTCATGCAAAATGCTACAAAACTCACCGAGAGGACAGCCGCACGGCTGTTACAGTCCCTTCCCCTCGGCTTCCCAAACGAATGTGTGGAAAAGATTTGTTTTTCCTTAGATTCTGTTTCCAGTAGAGCCGGTTGATATCTTGATACCTAGTATTTCATTGGCGATGTGTGTCAACCTGCTTTTCATTGGTCTAGTTTTTCGGTATCTAAAACTACTCTGCGCCAGAGCGTAGAAACTCAACGCTTATCAGTATAGCAATGATTCTTCTTGTGTCACTGTAAAGTGCAATATATATGAATAAAATGTACACAAAACACGAAAAAAACGGCACAAACAGGAATAGTTAGGGAAACAGTAAACAAAAATAAAAGTATAAGCAAGTAAACTTGTTCTACTAGTTTACGTAGAAATGCCGTCCAATCAGAGACCGGCATTACCGGCTCCACATGGAGCCACGCCCCCTCTCCAGCGCGCCGGGTTCGCGCGGGCCGTGTCTGTTTTTGAGGCTGGGGTCGGCGCCAGTTCGGACGGTCACACAAATATTGGATCTGGAAGATGGCTGGAGTGCTTACTAAGGTTTCGCGCTGCGCCGTTGGCGTTCTTGGCCAGCAAGCGAAGTTTGCGGCCCCCGTCAGCGTTGCTTCTCGGCGCAATTGTAAGTACCTAATACTGATACCCCTAATAAGCCTGCGATTTATCGCTACGTGACCTTGAATAACATAGGTGACGATTGTTAGGTGACAAGTGTCAAAATCTGCTTTGCTTTCGTTTTTATCAAAATGCTGCTATTTTATGTGTGTTTGTGTGTGTGCTAAATCTAGCCTTTTTTGTTCATTCTGGCATGATTCACACCGCCCCCAATAGGTCAACCCTAGAGAAAAAACCATTAGCAATGGTCTAATGGTCTAATGGTCTATATGGAAATTGAAACCCTAATGGTCTAATGGTCTAATGGTTTGTAGTGGTCTAATGGTCTGATGGACAGATGGGCTAATGGTCTAATGGTCTGATGGTCTAATGGTCTGATGGTCTAATGGGCTAGTGGTCTAATGGTTTCTTATGGCCTAATGGTTTCTTATGGTCTAATGGTTTCTTATGGTATGATCACCATACCACAAGAAACCATTAGACCATAAGAAACCATTAGGCCATAAGAAACCATTAGACATGTTTTCTGATAGTCAATGGGTTACCAATGGTCTCAATGGTAACAATGGTTTCTGGTGGTATCTTGTTAAAACATTCTTATGGTGCAAATCCGATCTATTAACATTGGCATTCCACATGGTAATACATGACATACCTAACAGTCCCCAGCATTCATTGTTCTCTGCCATGTTCGGTCCCATGTATGTACAGGCACGGATCTTTTTCAGCCGTGTATATTTTCACATTTGGAGCCTTGTCTTTTTTCCAATGAAGGTCTAGGAATTTTGTTCCGGGATTTTTTTTTTCAATGTATGCTCCGCCTGTGTCTTCTGCCCCTCGCTTCATCATCTGTGTCCGTAGTTAACCTGTAACAAAAGTGCACCTTTACATGGTTGTCTTACTTACCAATTGTTAGTTGAGCTTTACATTTTTTTGCTTTTTTACACTTTTGATTATTTGATCATAAGTTGAAATTTTTTATTTTCTATAAAAAGGAGAACTGGTAAATGCACAGGGTGGCTCACGTAAAACACCTGATTTGAAACTTGAATAACTTCCTTCAGTCTTAATTAAATTGGAAGATATTTTCACACAATGTAGGTACATATGTTTGGGATTATATTCATCCAATTTTCAGACAAATCCACTCACTTTCAGCTCAGCTGTGCATCTCAACGTGACCCCATCGTTTTCAGTAACTTTCTTGAGGCGCTCGTGGTATGCCAGCGTATATTCCCTGCGCATCTTGACGGTGATCCCTGCAAAGGCGGCGATCCAACCCGACCTTACAAGTTACAACTCCAGAATGCTCGCCGACCACGTCACGTACACCTTCGAGTTCATAAACCCCTATATTAAAAAAATCACATGGGGTGAGGTCGGACTTTACTTAACCTGCCTTGGTTATACCCTGGTTACCGCGCTTGCCCAATCTGCTTTGCCGAATCTGCCCTGCCCCAGCCCATCGCGCACGGCCGACCTCACCCCGCGTGACTTTTTCATGTAGGGGTTTGTGGAGTCGAAGGTATACGTGACGTGGTCAGCGAACATTCTGGAGTTGTAAGGTCGGGCTAGAGCCGCCTTCCCAGGGATCACCGTCGATCAGATGCACAACTGCACGGAAGCCGCGCTGGCATTCCACGAGCGCCTCGAGAAAGTTACTGAAAACGATGGGGTCACGTCAAGATGCACAACTGAGCTGAAAGTGAATGGATTTGTTTGAAAATTGGATGAACAATCCCAAACAAGCACCTACATTGCGTGAAAATAGCTTCAATTTGAAAGCCTCACGTGAATTTTCATACGGCCTGTAACAAATGCACTATGTACCTATATTAGGTCATTAAACATTACTTACTTCTCAGTTCTAATGGCAATTTTTTGGGGGTGAGCCTTTGCTTCGTCTCACACCCTTGAATCCTGTTCCAAGGTGTGCAGGTGACTGACCGGTCTGCTCTTCCCCCTCCTCTCGGTTCTCGTGGCGCTTCCTCTCCTGCTGGCGGTGGGTCTCTCGGGTCTCTCTACGACGCTCACGGCGACGCTCAGCGTTCCGCAACGCTTCGGTCTCGCGCCGCGTCTGCGCTAGCCGTTTACGGCGACGGCGCTGGGCAACGGCCCGCACGGCGAGGCATCTCCAAACGTTCTCACGCACACACGCACATAATTAATAACACTTATGGCGGTAAAAAACAGCGGAATCTTTCTCGGGTAACACACTGTTTCACCGATAACCTATCATATAAAGCAGCACAGAAGGACGCGAATTGTAAACAAAAATTTCACAAGCGGCAAATAAAGCTGAAAAGATTTGCCCATTGTTGCTATTCATTCTTTATTATTCCTTAAGCATCCTCGGAATTAGGCCTGGTTCCTCTGAATCAGGTGATTTATTGGTGAGTTACTGACAATGATGTTTCATGATCTCCCAGGCAGGAAAACCGCAAAGTTACCGCAAAACGCGGAATGCGGCATTCGAATAACCGTAAAAAAATAATGCAGAAAATGCTTCTAAAATACTTATAGGTCAATAATAGGTCAATGATATAATAGGCTAGTTATATCATAAAATACTAATAGGTCAAAGGTCAGGTCACCAGAGGTCATCAGAAGATCAAATTTTGCCATTTCTTAACAAATTTTGACAAACCGGAGCAGAACTCGGGAGCCAATAAAGCCTGCAACGCCGCAGGAAAACGCATTCGATAGCTCTTTTCGAGTAGGTAGTAAAGTAATATTGGCTCTTTTAACCCTCGCCCGTAAACGGCGATCTGCCACCTTCGCCCATGCAGGGGGGGGTTGGTGCGACCCCCCCCTTGGCGTTTGAAAACGGAGCGTCGTAGAGCTTAGCGGAAAAGACCAACGGATTGCTCTCGCCGAGATCTCGCGATTGGTGGTATATTTTTTGGTCCTAGGTCAACATTTGACCTACTTTTGACCGGTCAAAGGTCAAATTTTCGGAAAAATAGACTTTTTTCAACTTTCCGCGGCGATTGCGGCAAAAACGGTGGGAGATATCGACTTGAAAACTTCACTATCGTGTTCCTTGATCAATTCCCTATCGTTTGGTATGTATTTCGTTTCCCTAGCTCTAAAAATGGCGCGTTGGGAGCGCCGGAAGTCGGCAAGGTCACAGTCGGCGGAAGAAATTCGAAAAATCAAAAATTAAATTTTTGAAATCTGATTGTATTTTTGGATTTGGGAGGTCTATTTGCTCCCTATAGAAGCTAATATTGCTGCATATTCTCATTGAGGTGACAAGAATTAGCAAAATAGTGGTTCGGGCGCTTTTCAAAAATAGTACCGGACGCTGTTCCTCTTGTGACGTCATAGCTCCGTGACCTGACCTGACCCGGTCAAGTTTCTTATACCATATGATAGCCAATACTTGCCCCAACATGCATGGGAAGTTTCATCACGATCCATCAACCGATGTCCGTACCACCGGCAGGAAACCTCGGGCGTTGGCACTCAGTTTGTGAAAATCCGGCTGGAGGCTGTTCCCTTTGTGACGTCATAACTCCGTGACCTGACATGACCCGGTCAAATTTTTTTATCAAAAGATGCGCAAGGTTTGCCCCATAAGGTACCCAAAATTTGGCGGCGCTGCGCGCCGCCGTTTTTGCACTATTTCCGAAAAACCTCAGGGGGGGGTTGCACCAACCCCCCCCTACATGGGCGAGGGTTAACCCACGAGCCGCTACAGGGGGGGGGGGGGGGGGAATAAAGTTGCCTCGTATGTTTTGTGTGATATCCTCTATATTCAAAGGATGTCATTTGGTCCGTTATATTCAGTCTAATATATCGGATATATCGTAAGAAAATTCACCTAAAATTGGACTTTTGACGTCACTGTTACGTCATTTCAAATGGTATCCACACCAAATTTGGACACAACCTCGGCTAGCTATTCAGGAATATATGTGCAAACTTCTGAGTATATCGACAAGGCTTTGCTTCTCTATCTCTTCACGTTACGATGATATTGCCGCAGAAACAGGGCAACTATATGCTTCCTCCCCCCTCCCCCCATTGCCCGGCGGGTGGGCGGTGGCGCAGAGGCCCATCAGCCGCCGGGTTAACCCTTTTTCTGGAATGTGTCCTCAGCTCTGAACTAAATGAAGTCTCCAGAGGGCAAAAATTATAAAATAGCTATCTTTATGAAAAATGTGTACTTTCATAACTTTTCTCTGAAACTCTGAAAGTTTCAAAGCGATCGTTCAGACCGCTGTCGATGCAGCACTCCTTACATAATAAAGCACAGTTAGTGTTTAACAACATATTCAAGATCAATAAAAAGCCATTACAGGACCATTAAAAACCATTAGAACACCATTAGACCATCACAATTTTGAAACCATCATAAATGAAAAGATGCCATCAGAACACCAACAGAAACCATAAGAATACCTGTTTGGAGCCCAAAATCAAAACTATTGAAAACCATTAGGAAACCATTAGACCACCAAGTATACCATTTGAAACCATTAGCGACCATCAGAAACCATAACAATACCATTAGAGACCATTAGACCATTAGACCATCAGATCAAATTCCATTAGAAACCATCAAACACCATTGGAGACCATTAGAAACCATTAGGACACCATTAGAGACCATAAGAGTACCATCAAATTCCATTAGAAACCATCAAGCACCATTGGAGACCATTAGAAACCATTAGAGACCATTAGAGCACCATCAATTTCCATTAGAAAACCATCAGAAACCATTAGACCATTAGACCATCAGATCAAATTCCATTAGAAACCATCAAACACCATTGGAGACCATTAGAAACCATTAGGACACCATTAGAGACCATTAGAGCACCATCAATTTCCATTAGAAAACCATCAGACACCATTAGAATACCATTAGAGACCATCAAAAACCATTAGAGACCATTCAAGACCATTAGAAACCATTAGAAAATCCTAATGGTTTCTAATGGTCTTTTCTCTAGGGAAGCTCCCCATGGTTTTAGGAGGGGTGAGGCGAGTGAGGAC